GTGAAAGAGAATCCAAACAGGCACTGAGCTGGTAAACATGTCAATAAGAAACCAATTTACAAACTAATGAGTCATTTAAACATCCCAGATTACCCAGCATGCATCTCTACAGCTTCACCACCGTTATGTAAGCCTCGTCAGGGAGGGAGAAACTTTGCTCTAACATTTCACTCACGATTTTGCTGCTCCTAAACTGAAACTGTTCATTTCCCAAGTGAAATCGGTGCGTTTTTATTTATGGCACATCCATTTCACCCAAATGGTTGTTGTGTGTTTTTGTCTTCCTTCAGTTGAGAGACGCAGCAGCGCTGAGGGCGGAGCGGCTTCACGCTCACTTTACCCACATGGGGTCACAAACATCCCAGGAAGAAACATGTGAGCTGACTGAGCTACGACTGATTTCTGTCCCTGAGTTCTAAGATTTTCCAATTAGCAGAGGCTGAAGTGGGGAACATTTAAGCATATCAGTCTGGTTGCACGCTCCAGCTGCTGTGTGAGGCGATTTCAGGCCCGGAGGGACGGCCGCGCACAGACCTCTGCATCAAAACAATTCCACAGCTAGCAGGAGGTGTGACACAAACAACAAGGTTCTTACCCTTCCCCAGTGAGCTGCACTGACAGCCGACCCACCTCCTCCCTCCAGCACACACACAGACACACACACACACACACACACGCACACACACACACACACCCACGCACACACACACACTGCCTGCCTTAGTGGAGTTATATATGCACACAGCCATACATGTCAAATCGGAGCTCCTGCAATCTGGACTCACCCTTCCTTCAAACTGCTTATCTCCTGGAGAAAGGATGAAAATGAATGGCTGCCATATGGAAGTGGTACGTTGTATGAGAAGAGGAAAACCTATTGGTGTGGAAAATCAATTTTGCCAAGTGGCACACATAAAGCTTTCTACGGGTTAAATAGCCGGCATTATCCCGTCTCCTCATGCAAGGCTGTGTGTGGAGGAAGAGCAGAGAGACGGAAGAACAAAGGATGAAAAGATAATCAAATTTGCAGATGGAAAGCAGGACTAGTGATGGGGGAGAATAAGTACCTTGTAAAGGGTGTGCTGCTGTCACCTGGGAGGAACATGTACCTGCACCAATGGCCTGTAGCAGCTGCTGAGCCCACAGACATGATTTACATTCCACAGGGTCTCCTGACTCCATATCCACCTCCAGTTTACCAGACTACAAATCTGCATAAATTCCCCAAAACTTCCCCTGAAGAGAGAGAAGATGCATGCCAGATGAAGTCAGTCCACCGTCCTTCATTACCTGATATCTGCAGGCATTCGCTCGCCTCACTGAGACCTCACTGAGCGGAACCGCATCAGTCTGAGCCACAGAGTCAGACTCCGGGCCGGGTCATGCTCCCTAGGGTCCAATTATCCGTCAGGAGACGGCCACAGCGTGGGTTTCTTCAGATGTTGGAGTCAGCAGACCGTCTGTCGGTGAGCTTCAGGTTCAGTTTGGAGTGAATTCAGAGAAACAGCTGTTTGTCTGTCCTCCACGCTAACGCCATCACTGCAGCAGGCGTCCGGCCCGACGCCACCAGGCTGGAAAAGACTGACTGCGTTCACAGAGAGCGAATGCGACTCGTATCTGACTTTTCCACATCAGTCTGGAAGGTCCAACTCCGACCTTTCACCCTGAGCACAATCCGCTCTGCTCCTCTTCCCCATGTGGGACTAAATCACATCCGATAGTTTCCAAAGCGTCTGAATTTAATCAACTTTTCCTTCATTGTCATAAAAACTCAGCAGCAGAAGAATCCAGACTGTAAATCTAAACTACGGCTGAAATGATGATAATGAAGTGGTGAAAACATCGGAGTCAGTGAACGCATCACATCCCAACCGACGACACCTGGTCCGACTCCGCATCCCAACAGAACCGGGTCAGAAGCTGCAGCTCCACTAAAGGCTACAGCTGTTAGCTTGATGAGCTTCCTGCTAACCATCTGCTGTCGCTCTCAGCAACTTTACAATCCATCCAGAGAGGCGGCCATCTTTACTGCCGTAAACAGAGCGCTGCGGCGGCCATCTTTACTGCGGCGGCCATCTTTACTGCCGTAAACAGAGCGCTGCGGCGGCCATCTTTACTGCGGCGGCCATCTTTACTGCCGTAGACAGAGCGCTGCGGCGGCCATCTTTACTGCCGTAAACAGAGTGCTGCGGCGGCCATATTTACTGCGGTGGCCATCTTTACTGCCGTAAACAGATTGCTGCGCCGGCCATCTTTACTGCGGCGGCCATCTTTACTGCCGTAGACAGAGCGCTGCGGCGGCCATCTTTACTGCCGTAAACAGAGTGCTGCGGCGGCCATATTTACTGCGGTGGCCATCTTTACTGCCGTAAACAGAGCGCTGCGGCGGCCATATTTACTGCGGTGGCCATCTTTACTGCCGTAAACAGATTGCTGCGGCGGCCATCTTTACTGCGGCGGCCATCTTTACTGCCATAAACAGAGCGCTGCGGCGGCCATCTTTACTGCGGTGGCCATCTTTACTGCCGTAAACAGCAACCTGGCCCCAGCTGAGGTCCTGGCATATGAATTATTAGTCCTACCAGTAAAGTAATGGCAGAAGAGAGCAGGTGCTGGTTACCTTGCCGATGAGCCTGGGAAACGGAGCCCTCTGGTTCTCGGTGACGATCATCGGCGGGACGAGGAGCGCTCTCTTCGATCGGTTATACCGCTTCTGGCTGAGGCCCAGAACGTCCTGCAACAAAACATAACATCTCATCAAGTTCCACCAACTACCCTGCAGCTTTAAAGGGCCTGGACAACCAACAACATCCCCTGTAATTCACCCAGAACCTGAACCAACAGCAGCTGTAATCACAGCCTCTTACATTAATGTCCCAGAAGTTTGTGAATGTCGAACGACGTGTCCTCATAAAGCAGAGCAGCTCTACAGACTCACGGTGACATGAAGTCAGCCTCGCAGCAGCTCTCTCTGGAATTAAATTCATACCTAATCCTGCATTCAGCTGCTGTGCAACATAACGACAGCAGAGAAAAAAGCAAAGCGAAAATAGAGGCTAAAATAAAGCAATGAGCGATGACACGTTTTTAGTAAAGCAGTTGCATTATTCAAACAGATGGAGTCGTTCTGAAATGTTGCTTCGATCTTGGAAAACATGAAATGCATAATCTTGTTTCATTTTCCTCCCTCCTGCTGCTGTAAACAAAGAAGTGGTTACAGAGTCTAATGTGGGAAATGTTCCTCTGCTCCAGCAGAACCAGGGAGGCGCTGGGAGTCTTCCGCCTGGATGTTGATGAAAATTGATGAAAATTACAGCCGACACAGAGAAAAGCGCCTGGCTGAGTCCGGGCTGGACTCTCCAGTTCTGCGTTTTATGACTCGGATGTTTGTGCTAAAACGGCTCCACAGCGTCTAAAGTGGAAACAGTGGAGACTCCAGTCATTTAATAAATTTAAGAAGTTAAATTATGAGACTGATCCACACGTCAAACCCAAAGAGTGATTAATATTACCGCGGATGTCGCCCAAAGTGAAGGAACATGTTTTAGTTTTCAGGCTGTAGAATCATTTAGAACGACTGAGTTTCTACCAACGGATCAGATAAATAAAACTTCACCAAACTGCACACCTCATACCACTCAAACATCACAGCCAGCGTCTGACACAATGTAGACTTTCTGTCTGCACCGATGAAGAATCAAGTAAAGCTTGACTGATTGTGATGATTTAAAGAGTTATGCATTGTTGGACAGAGTGAATCCCCAGATGATCAGCTGATCATCAAACATGAAATGAAAAAAGTAACTCCCTCTGAGGCCATCGATGCCAGGAGACTTTTCTCCTTCCATCCCAATAATCAAGAGAAGACTTGATTTTGTCTTTATTTGATTTTGACTTGATTTTGTCTTTATTTGATTCTCTCTCAAATAAAAACAAAATAAAACTTTAAAGAATGTCAGTAAAAGACATAATTCAGTCTAGAGGACAGATGTTTGTAATTCTGACTGATTATACATTTTTCTCTGGATTATTTATTCTGCTGTTCAGTGATTTGTTTGCATGAACTGCTGTTCAATCGGTGACGACCTTTGACCCCACTCCTCTCACCAGAACAGACAGGTGAGAAAGAGGGAAAGTCCAACCACAAACCCAAGTGGAGCAGAACCGTCCAGAGACACTGAGCGCCGGCAGAAATGACATTTTTTAATGGGACGCACTCAAGGGTGACCTCTGAAATGTCAGAGGCAGAAAAGTGAAGCCGGACGAGAAGCTGTAAAACACAACGCTTCTGAAAAACGTCGCAGATCAAACTGACAATTTCACACAAAAGAGCCGTCGCAGCATCACTTCATTGCAGCATAATACCATTGCAGCATCACTTCAGTGCACCATCACAGTGTCTGAGCATCAGAGCATCACAGCGTTGCAGTATCACACCATTGCAGCGTCACGCCATTGCTTCATTGCAGAATAAAAGCGTTGTTTCACTGCGGCATCACACCACTGCAGCATCATAGCGTCGCTTCATTGCAGCATCAAAGGATCGTTTCACTGCAGCACCACAGCATCGTTTCATTGCAGCATTAACCCTTCGCAGCACCACAGCGTCGTTTCATTGCAGCATTAACCCGTCGCAGCACCACAGCGTCGTTTCATTGCAGCATTAACCCGTCGCAGCACCACAGCGTCGTTTCATTGCAGCATTAACCCGTCGCAGCACCACAGCGTCGTTTCATTGCAGCATTAACCCGTCGCAGCACCACAGCGTCGTTTCATTGCAGCATTAACCCGTCGCAGCACCACAGCGTCGTTTCATTGCAGCATTAACCCGTCGCAGCACCACAGCGTCGTTTCATTGCAGCATTAACCCGTCGCAGCATCACAGCGTCGTTTCACTGCAGCATTAACCCGTCGCAGCATCACAGAGTCGTTTCATTGCAGCATTAACCCGTCGCAGCATCACAGCGTCGTTTCATTACAGCATTAACCCGTCACAGCATCACAGCGTCGTTTCACTGCAGCATTAACCCGTCGCAGCATCACAAAGTCGTTTCATTGCAGCATTAACCCGTCGCAGCATCACAGCGTCGTTTCATTGCGGCATTAACCCGTCGCAGCATCACAGAGTCGTTTCATTGCAGCATTAACCCGTCACAGCATCACAGCATTGTTTCATTGCAGCATTAACCCGTCACAGCATCACAGCGTCGTTTCATTGCGGCATTAACCCGTCGCAGCATCACAGAGTCGTTTCATTGCAGCATTAACCCGTCACAGCATCACAGCGTCGTTTCATTGCAGCATTAACCCGTCGCAGCATCACAGAGTCGTTTCATTGCAGCATTAACCCGTCGCAGCATCACAGAGTCGTTTCATTGCAGCATTAACCCGTCGCAGCATCACAGCGTCGTTTCATTGCAGCATTAACCCGTCACAGCATCACAGCATTGTTTCATTGCAGCATTAACCCGTCGCAGCATCACAGCGTTGTTTCATTGCAGCATTAACCCGTCGCAGCATCACAGCGTTGTTTCATTGCAGCATTAACCCGTCGCAGCGTTACAGCATCACAGCATCGCGTCTGCCTGATGTTGGAAGAGCTCGGAGGCCGGCAGCCTGTGACTTCATGGCCTCCATGCCTTCTTTCTTCTGGTGGATATGGTGCAGGTGGTGCTGCGGCATCATGATGGTGGCATAGCGGCGCTCAGCAGGACTGAACCGTGTTTTCGTGCTGCTGATGACGGCGGCTCACCGTTTTGCCAGACGCCAGCTCAATTCCTGCTGCTCCGAAGCTCATTCGGACGTTTCTCCAGCTTCCCTCCACTCTTCCTCTTTGTGCTGCGTTTGTGTAATGAACAGTGTTCGTACAGTACAGTGACACTGGAGGAGAAGGGCACTATGAATCTTTAATGTGTACTTTTCATAAATTACTGCTGCACCATCACACTGGCAGCACTGAAGCATCTGCTTCTCGTCCTCCAGGTGATTGTTGGGGGATTTAAAGAGAGGAAAACTGAACCTGGCCAGCATGAGACAGGATGGAGGCTTCACATCCATCCTTCAGAGTAAACAGCAGTGTGTGTGTGTGTGTGTGTGTGTGTGTGTGTGTGTGTGTGTGTGTGTGTGTGTGTGTTTCTGCAGTCTGAGAACAGGGAATCTCTGTCACTGTCAGCGGAGCTACAAGCTCCTGCAGCAGCAAAGTCGTGTCCTTGTCCATTCTGCCATTTTTACCCACACCGCTATATTGAGAAGTGCCATTACTCATTTGTGACAACGTGCTGCAGACCCGGAAAGAAATGGGCGACATCAAGGCCGCCGCTGGCCAGCGGTGACAGCAGCACCAGGTTATTTGACCTGGGATACATTAAAACAAGAAACCAGCTCCATTACGGCTCTTAATGAGTCACTGAAACACATCCACCCATCTATTATCCATCCACCCATCTATTATCCATCCACCCATCTATTATCCATCCATCCATTATCCATCCATCCATCCATCCATCCATCCATCCATCCATCCATTATCCACCCATCCATTATCCACCCATCTATTATCCATCCACCCATCTATTATCCACCCATCCATTATCCACCCATCTATTATCCATCCATCCATTATCCATCCATCTATTATCCATCCATCCATTATCCATCCATCTATTATCCATCCATCCATTATCCATCCATCTATTATCCATCCATCTATTATCCATCCATCTATTATCCATCCATCCATTATCCATCCATCCATCCATCCATTATCCATCCATCCATCCATCCATTATCCATCCATCTATTATTCATCCATCTATTATCCATCCATCCATTATCCATCCATCTATTATCCATCCATCTATTATCCATCCATCCATCCATTATCCATCCATCCATCCATTATCCATCCATCCATCCATCCATCCATCCATTATCCATCCATCCATCCATCCATTATCCATCCATCCAGTTTAATTTAAATTTGTAAAGTGAGGCACGATTTTGTGTTCATCCTGTAGAAATTAAAATATACTGACGTGAAAATTTGAAAAAGTTTAACACACTTGAAGACATTTCCTAAAATTCAAAGTCAGACATTTATCACTTCAGGACATAAAAAGCAAATTAATGTTTTAATCATCTGTCATAATGTGAACGTCTTTGTGGCAAAGCGACTGTTGCTCTTCTGCATTCAGTCCTCTAAGTTATAAAACATCATATTTAAGTCAACATGGTTGGACTGTTAAGCAAATTGAACAGAAAATTACAAACTTTACTTTTAATGGTTTTGTTTGTTGGAGAGCTGCTCCCAGTGATGATCCGCCGCTGCCCAGGCTTCACCTTCCTCATCATCCTCATCATCCAATTTTAGCTCTTGTGGCCGCCACGTAATTTTAGGGTTTCTTCCAAGAGTTTTATGCAGTGACCTACTTCTGCTGCAGAAAACGGTTTGCAAACGAAAGAAAACTGAGGTCAGCATTTTATCTGACAGCAAACAAAACAAACACAGATCATCGTTTTAGATTGATAAGGTCAAAGTGGATTCCTTTGATGCTACAAATGATTAAATAATCCTGTAGCAATGATTAATCACTTGGCTTATCAGGGAATGGACACATTCAGCCTGATTACTTAGTTACTAACTAAGTAAGTAAGTAAGTAACTTTAACTCAGTCAGCTTTCAGGAGGTGTTATTTGTTGTGCTGCTTCTTAGCAGAGTTTGGTATGATGGGATGCAGGAAGAGGGAAAGATGATTTATGTTGTGTTGTTATGTTGGCAGGATGTCACATCTTCGTCGTCGTCCCAAAAGCCTGGCTGAGCGCTGAGAGCCGGCTTACAGAAAATCTGTTTCCCTCTGCAGGATCAGGCTTTTTCAGGAGACACAATATTACATTTCAGCCTGAGCACATGGAAAATATATAAAACATAACAAAAGAACAATAAACAAGCTTTTTATTTTGGGTCTTATCAGCTGCTACATTTGAACGGTGCCTGTTTATGCTCCCTGAAGGCAGAGAAATGCTCTGCACAACTGCTGCGCTGCCAAAACAACAAGAAACAATACAGAGAGGAAAGTGTGTATCTTGGAGCATGCACTTGTTAAATTGAAATGCGTTCTTCCATTAATTCACATATTGATCGGTTGCAAAAAAGGGGGGAATAAATTACTCATTAAATTCAGAGTTTTGCTTATAACAGGAATCATTCATCAGTCACTTATCTCCCTCTGGGCCTGTGTTACACCAAACTAGTGCTGACAAATTACAACCTGATTCTCTGCACCTCCACTGCAGGCACTTATCACTTATCAGCCCAATGTGCTGCACCAGGCCATTTGTTCTGCCAATACTTCCACACTGGAATGTTTCCGCTCTGCAGGAGACTGGAAACAAAAAGGAGGTTTTGGCAAATATGAATCCAACGGCAAACAAAAGCACGACAACAAGCTGCAAAAGCAGAGAGCATCTGAGTGCTAAGATAATTGAAAAACAGCAAAGATGCGTTGAAGCAGCTTGAAAAGCACAAATATTATCTCAGATTTAGATTTCAGTCGGTGGGATTTGAGTGCATCAGAAACAAGATTTTAAATACTCAGCAGCTGCTGCTGTGAAGAGACGTTTGATGGCGGCCTGAGACGGCGCCGGCCTGCAGCAGCGCAGGATGTAGACAGATGAGACTTCCTGACGAGTCTCAGAGTGACGGTGGAATAACGAGAGCTTTTTCCTGCTCACTCTCATGCAGACGGTTGTTTCCAGCTTTGTTTGCCTCTTACCTGCTTAATGCGTCGCGTGACCACGGCGATTCTCACTGAAAGCTGGATGCGTGTCGTTTAAGGCAGACGGAGGACTTTGAAGCAGAGATGAAAGACCAAATCATTTCCTAAATGAAGCTTTCATCTGCCAGTGCAATTGGGCAGCAGATTTCCATATGTTAACATACTGGCCACTTTATTAGGCACAGCTGGTTAGCACCAAATAACAAAGGTCAAAGGTCAATTATCATAAAAACTACCAACAAAATCAGCAACATTTTCAATTCAAAAATCCTCCAAATGCAAACCACGTCTGCCAGAACCTCAAGTCCAACAACCAGAAGCTACTAAATTATTAAATCTGCAACAAAGACATTTACAGTTTTTAATTTGTTAAGGTTCATCAGATTAGAGCAAAACATATTTTATTTATTCATCTTTCAAAGATTCAATTGCATTTCAAAGATTTCTGTCCAAATTATTAATGACATCTTTCTCTTACACTGGAAACTGTTTAATACGACACAATAAATTCACCTGTTCATAACCAAGTCTGAACTAAGACTGTTTATCCAGAGACTTTACTGATTAAATCAGCTGTTCTCGAATTAAACTCAGAAATATAAAAATGACCCAAATCCTGTTCTTACCCTGGAAATAAATTTGTTCAAAGTTTGGATCAATACGAAAAAAGATATGAGATAAAATCAGATTTCATTTATTTGCATTGTTATTTTGGTCCACGGGACAAAAAGTTTGGAAAGCCTTAATGTAGATGAATGAATGATGAATGAATGAATGAGTTACTGTCTTCATTCAGCACTGAATAAGTCATTTATTACACAGGTTTTCCAGTCCTAACTGTAAACTTGGAGAGCTGCTGATCATAAAGAATCTGAAGCTTTAATGAACTGCAGGAAGAAACACTTTGAGCAAACAGCAGCTGAGCCTTTTAGGACCTTGGTCAATATCCATAGTGACACTGTGTCATCAATCAGAGCATAAATGTCTCCATGTCCTAAAGCCGGAGGATCAGCACTGATTACATTTCATCTTCAGGAAGACAAGCATGTTCCAAATTTAATCTCAATACTTCAGAGAGTTGTTAAGACATTTGAGAAATTCAATTAAATCTGCTAATGCCAGCAGAGCGAGATGTAAGGACGGCGACATGACAGAGTCAAAGGATCCGTCTCCAGGGACCGCGGCGGCAAATAATTATATTAAATGTCAGAATAATCTATTGTGACCCCGAGTGCTACACCAATTACCTGACAGAGAAATCCCATGTCTGCAGCAGGATACATGATCACAAAATTCACTAAATGAAAATGTCACCTCAGAAAATGTAAACAAAGGAAGAAAAGCTGAATGAAATGCAAACCACGTCTGCCAGAACCTCAAGTCCAACAACCAGAACCCCTGAGATCCACAAAAACACCTGAGAAGTACAGGACGATGGTGATGAGGATGAGGATGATGGGAATGAGGATGAGGATGACGATGATGGTGATGAAGATGAGTGTGATAGTGATGAGGATGATGGTGATAGTGATGAGGATGATGACAATGATGGTAATGAGGATGATGACAATGATGGTGATGAGGATGAGTGTGATAGTGATGAGGATGATGGTGATAGTGATGAGGATGATGACAATGATGGTAATGAGGATGATGACAATGATGGTGATGAGGATGATGGAAATGAGGATCATGGTGAGGATGATGGTGATGAAGATGAGGGTGATAGTGTTGAGGATGATGGTGATAGTGATGAGGATGATGGGAATGAGGATGAGGATGGTGGGAATGAGGATGAGGATGATGGGAATGAGGATGAGGATGATGGGAATGGGGATGAGGATGATGGAAATGAGGATGATGGTGATTGTGATGAGGATGATGGGAATGAGGATGATGGGAATGAGGATGAGGATGACGGGAATGAGGATGAGGATGGTGGGAATGAGGATGAGGATGGTGGGAATGAGGATGAGGATGATGGAATGGGGATGAGGATGATGGGAATGAGGATGATGGTGATTGTGATGAGGATGATGGGAATAAGAATGATGGGAATGAGGATGAGGATGATGGGAATGAGGATGAGGGGAATGGGGATGAGGATGATGGGAATGAGGATGATGGTGATTGTGATGAGGATGATGGGAATAAGAATGATGGGAATGAGGATGAGGATGATGGGAATGAGGATGAGGATGATGGGAATGGGGATGATGGCGATGAGGATAGTGACAGTGATGAGGATGATGATATCTGACTGACGGATCATCCTTGTTTCTGTCTTTCACGCTGAAGGTAAAGTCTCTGCTGGTTTAAAGTCTCTGCTGGTTTAAAGTCTCTGCTGGTTTAAGTCTCTGCTGGTTTAAAGTGTCGCCACCATCAGACCAGTAAATCGCTTCAATCTGAAAGGAGTCAGGAATCCTGCGTCGTCTTCATGCCGCACCTTTGAGGTCATGCAAATATGTTAATGGATGATAACTGAATCTGCATCAGTGGGCTTCCTATCTCAACATAATTAGGATTCATGAACATATGCAGAAGTGAGACTGGCAACAGATGCCTCCAAACATTTGATCAATTCCGTTTTTTAATTTATTACACTTGCAATTAAGATGGCTGACGCATGAATGATCTGTGAATGCTTCGCTGACAGAGTTTTTCCTTCAAACGTTTTGAACTTTCTGCAGAGTTTTGTCTGCAAATCAAAGTGACATATTTGGGGAAATAAATGGGTCATTTTGAGATACAACTGATAGGAAGATCCATTTTATTCTGTGTGAGTAATAAATATTAATGTTGATACAAAAGGATTTATGATGATGAAGATGCAACAGTCGGATGGTAGAGTTTTTATTTTCCAGCTGTTTTTAGCAGTCACATCTTAGTGATGCTAAGAGATCTTCATCAGCGCAGACAGAGCATCTGCTCAGCGTAGCACCAGATTAAATATCTGGATGTTTCTAAGACATCTGAATGCAGTTGACTAATTTTGCAGTAGCGCTGCAGACGCCATGACGACACAGCAGGAAATGGAAACATGTGGAAAAGTCAAAATACGGAGCTTCATCTGATTGTTTTAAAGAAAAATCCAGATCAGGTTCCTTTGAAACCTGATCTGGATTTTTCTTTTTTAATCATGACGGACACTTTGTGGAGTGTTTATCATATTTTCTCAATCAGAATCGTATTTTTTACATTTCTTCAATAAAACCGCCACTTTCAGAGCTCTTGTTAAAAATAATACACAAAATCACAAAATCTGACCAAGTTTCTCTAGTTTCCAGCAGAAATATCTTACAGACAAAACTAACTATTAAGTTAGCTTTCATAGGAGTTTATTTGAAGTCAATAATTCCTTTATAATGACAGAAAATGAAATTCAACATGGGAAAAATGTTGTGAAACAATTTACCAGTTTCTCTAATCTAAAGCATCCTCTGCATAAACTGAGCTTCATTCTTTCCAGTTTCCACGTCAGCTAGAGAGGCAGGACTCAGCTGGAGCTACTCACCCTGAACGTGTTCTGTGACCGGGCAGGAAGTCCGGAGACGTCCACCTGCGCCCGGTCGTCTGCGTGCGATCCGAAGCCGCGGACCAGCAGCATCGGCCCGCAGGACTCCACGTCCCGATGGGGAACCAGGTTCAGGTCCGGGTCCACGTGGAACCTGGGGTCTGACACTTCGAACGACACGTCCTCGTTCCCCGCGCAGTCATCGAACTCCACTGCAAGAAACGCACACACACACCACTGTGACTGTTCCAGCAAATTACAAACAACAGAACCGCAGCAAGAGCCATGACAGTCGCCGAGGTGCACAGCAGAACCTGTCAAACAACACATGAAGCAGGAAGCTGAGACATAAACACATCGCCGGAGGAAAAACACGCAGCGGAGCAAAGAGCAGCATGTTCACAGGGAACGTCAGCAGCCGAGGCTGTCTGGACGCATTAACGCCTCCGGCTCCCTGGGGGCGCTGTGGTAAGCACGACACACATATGGAGACCTTCGTCCTCGGCGCGGCCGTCGCAGGTAGATTCCCGGCCTGGTGATCTTTGCTGCATGTCTTCAATTTGTTCTCCATTCATGTTGAAGCAGATATAATCGGATGTAATGAAGCTCATCGCTGCTCAGAGCTAAAGGAGCATTTAGTAAGAAGGCCGTCCAGTTATCATAACTCATAAAAAGTTGTCCTTTAAAAGTGCGTTGCTCAAGTTGCTTTAGGATGAACTCTGATCTCTGCAGACTTGGCTTCGTACCAGCAAACATGTTGAAATATTAGCTTAATTATGCTGGTTTTTAATGATGTTTAACTTGCATAAAACTGAACTGAAACAGCTAGTTTAGATCACTGCGGTGGAACTGCTTTGTTTTTTCCAGCTCTCTCCGAAGAGCTCTCCTGTTTAGCATTTTTCTAAGGTCATTAATGTTTGGTTGTGCTTTTTGAATCAGATGGTCATGTTGATCTGTTGGTGTGATTTTATGCATCTGATTGTTTGAATAAATTCTGGCTGCTTGTGACTGTTGTTTTAATGGTTTGACCTTTGACCTTAATGGACCTGGAGAGACAAGTCAACAACCAGCAACAAGTCGAAACACATCAGAACGTCTGCAGAGTGTGAACAGGTCAAGGTTCAGCTCTGAGTTTGGAGAAAAACAGTCAATAATCATGAAGATGAAATCTGGTGAAAGCAACATTACGGTTTAGAAACAATTAACTATGATTTCTGTTTTATCAAAGGGCTAATTTACATTCAGTGGCGCTACAATGTTCAATAAATTACAACATCCAGCCTTCAGGAAATGAATGCTTTAATTAATGCAAGGTTTCTGTAGCATTGTGTCTGTAAGGGTGAGGTTGCTGACTGAAGCTTTGACATCATCACATTATTGTGATGTTTTCTGTGTTTCTGTGAGAGCTTAAAGTGGTTCTCTGCTCCGGCTGCGAACCGGAGAACCAGCTGAGCCCAAAGCTCCGGTCTCTGCCGGGTCTGTTGGAGACTTCCCGTCGTTCCGGTCCGGCGGATCGGCAGACGAGCGAGCAGGAACAGACTCAGCACAGAGCTGGTTATGAAACCGGCCAGAACCAGGCCGGCCTTCCTTCTCCTCCGCTGAGAACAAAGAGAAACTTTCCACAGGACAACAAGCTGCAACTACCCAGAACAACATCTCTTCACGTCGGATTTGAAAAACAAACTATCAGTCCTGTAGTTTTAAAACTGAGGAATATCTTCTCTATGCCGACACTACCATGCATATATTTACTTTAAATCACTCATATAGTGTTAATTACCTGCAGACAAAAGCAGCACAAACACCTTTATGTCCTCTAATAAAAGCAGGCCGTTTGTATGCGTTGGTGCTCGGAGCGACGCGCAGCAGCAGCCATCCATTAATGTAATTAATACTTTTCTCTCTGCTGCCTTCAGCAGCGAGTGTAACAGAACCAGTCCGTGGTCGGTCGTCCCTGACTCTGATCAATAGGCTGCGGTTTATCACAACGCTCATTTGATACACTTAACCTTTGTATCCGTTCAGTCTGGCTTCTATCGCCTCTTTGCAGACAAAATCTTTATTTACCATCGAGAGGAGGAGAGTATCAGAGAGAAGATGAGAAAGTGAAATGAATCAGAAAATGGCAGGATTAGTACGAGTCCAACAGGCAGCGAGGGAGGAAGTCAGCAGCTTCTGCAGGGAAACGCTGCGCTGTTGTGCAAACTCAACGCTCTCTTCTAAGCCAAAGCATGAAAGATGTGTTCATTTCCATGCCCATTACAAGCCCCATATTTATTTCAATAACATGGCTGACTCTTTGGAGGCTGCAAATTGCAGCACCAAACAGTGTCAGTGGCATTTCAAAGGCAGTCGAGTGTTTGATGATATTCTAATGCTGTCAGCTTTTGGGGATTTCTCTGAAAAAACTGAATTGACAGCACTGAAGTCAGACAACAATGACAGAATGTAAGTTACCCGACTTCAGCGCCGCTGCACAGCCACCACTCCTCCAGAACCAGCAGAACACAGATCAGGGGCGCCAACATCTCCACAGGAAGCACAGCTAAAGCTTAGCTTAATGTTTATATGAACTAAAACTCATGTGATCGACCATCAAGATATGAGAGAGCAGCCGAGGTTACACAACTCCGCAGGTACCTTATCAGGCCGAGCATGCTAACCGTGCTAAACTGTCCCTGGTTATCAGGCCTAGCTCATTTAGCAGTTAGCATGCTAACCGTGCTAAACTGTCCCTGGTTAACAGGCATAGCTCATTTAGCAGTTAGCATGCTAACCGTGCTAAACTGTCCCTGGTTATCAGGCCTAGCTCAGTTAGCAGTAGCATGCTAACCATGCTAAACTGTCCCTGGTTAACAGGCATAGCTCACTTAGCAGTTAGTATGCTAACTGTGCTAAACTGTCCCTGGTTATCAGCCCCAGCTCAGTTAGCAGTAGCATGCTAACCATGCTAAACTGTCCGTGGTTATCAGCCCTAGCTCAGTTAGCAGTAGCATGCTAACCATGCTAAACTGTCCCTGGTTATCAGCCCTAGCTCAGTTAGCAGTAGCATGCTAACCATGCTAAACTGTCCCTGGTTATCAGGCCTAGCTCAGTTAGCAGTAGCATGCTAACCATGCTAAACTGTCCCTGGTTATCAGGCCTAGCTCAGTTAGCAGTAGCATGCTAACCATGCTAAACTGTCCGTGGTTATCAGCCCTAGCTCAGTTAGCAGTAGCATGCTAACCATGCTAAACTGTCCCTGGTTATCAGCCCTAGCTCAGTTAGCAGTAGCATGCTAACCATGCTAAACTGTCCCTGGTTATCAGCCCTAGCTCAGTTAGCAGTAGCATGCTAACCATGCTAAACTGTCCCTGGTTATCAGCCCTAGCTCAGTTAGCAGTAAGTGAGGTTTGCTGGTCCAGTATGTCCAACTTCCTGTGATACGTTCAGCTGGTTTCTAACTGCTCTCTCGCGCCACACTGTGGCAGCCTGCAGGAACAGCTCACGTACCTCTGTAGACAATAATTTGCTTCTGTAACATTTGTTTTAAAGCACCAACCATTTTCCTCGGAGCTGATTGGTTGAAGCCCTAAGAGCAGAAATAATTCAGACTGTAGATTTTAGTTTCTGCATGTATTAATGCATGTTAAAGAATATGTAGAGTCTGAACTATATAGTTCTAATGGTTTCTATTGGTCTAAAGGGATTTCAGATTGCAGCTGATAGTGGGGAAAAAAAGCAAAACGCTTTTTAAATTTCATTTATTTAAGTTAGAGGGGCAAAGAACAGAGTCAGTTTGGTGACTTAAGATATTAATTTATACATTTAGACTTATTTTTAAAAAGTTAAGTCTTCAGTTTATTTTTATTAGACTAATTTATCTTTCATGATAACTAAATCCCTAAAAACACAATCATCAAAATGCAGTTGAATACATATTTTTGTGAACAGAGAATAAATTCCTGGTTGATAATGCTGAACTTTATGAGATTATTAAGCCGCTTCCAGCTTTTGTCCGTCACATAACTGAGATTTCTTTCCCTCCTGTCAGGCACTAAAGTTTTCCTTTGAGATGTTTTGAAGACTATTTTCTGCCTTGTAACAAAATGTCAAGCCTCATGATGGCAGAGATGTGAATCAGAGGAGTAATCTGAAGGTGGCAGAGCGGCTGAGAGCCGATCGCTGCAGAGTGTCTCCAGTAATCACCAGGCTGCTGCTGCTGTTGTTGCTGCAGCTGCTGCTGTTGTTGCTGCTGCTGGTGATGCTGCTGCTGTTGCTGCAGCTGCTGCTGTTGCTGCAGCGGCTGCTGTTGCTACAGCTGCTGCTGTTGCTGCAGCTGCTGCTGTTGCTGCAGCTGCTGTTGCTGCTGCTGGTGATGCTGCTGCTGCAGCTTCAGTTGCTGCAGCTGCTGCTGTTGTTGTTTGTTGACAGTTTGACCACTTATTTAAGAAAGTTAAATATGTCAAGCTGCTGCAAGGCGCCGGGTCAGAATGGAACCGGGTCATAATGGAACCGGGTCAGAATGGAACCGGGTCAGAATGGAAACGGGTCAGAATGGAACCGGGTCATAATGGAACCGGGTCAGAATGGAACCGGGTCAGAATGGAACCGGGTCAGAATGGAACCGGGTCAGAATGGAACTGGGTCAGAATGGAACCGGGTCAGAATGGAACCGGGTCAGAATGGAACCGGGTCAGAATGGAACCGGGTCAGAATGGAACCGGGTCAGAATGGAACCGGGTCAGAAGGCTACCGGGCAGCACAGCATCAGAATCCAACATGGCGGTTGAGTCGCATCAGATTAGATCATTTCTGCTTCATCATCAGAAAATCAACAAAACAAACTTTAATCTGAAGCTCTAAGAACGATTTAAATATTTTAGCATAAAAGTATAAAAACATGTTTCCATGAAAAGTGTTTACTGATGGAGCTTTTTATGTCTTCAAAGTAGATTGATCATAATGTTTGCATGATATTACAGAAACAGACTGAAGTTACTGAAGTTTCCATTTCACAGCCCTGAAGATGAAAACCTTCCTGACAAACATGTAGTTTCAACATGTCAGACAGAAAATCACAAAATCTCTCGAGATAAAACGTGAGTTCAGAGCAAACAAACATGGCCGACAGGAAGAAACAACGGAGAAGACGACAGGAATATCCAGAACTTGGCCTCAATCAGAGCGACTTGCAGTAGGAGGAACTGCAATCAGTGTGAAGCTGAATTAA